CCGGCACCCGCAGCATACGCATCCGGTCGGGACCGCAGGGAGGGAGGAGTTTGGCACCCCGTCTTGGCCTATGTCTGCTTCCTCCTCCTCCTTTTTCACCTCCCCCGCGCCCTCCTCGCTCCCACCACCTCGGCTGTCCGTGCTGTGCCCTTCCAAGGTTTGGAGCAACCAGTCCATCCCCTCCCTCAGCCCCTGCCCCGAGATGGCGCAAGTCTCTTGGACCCACCAGGGACGCCTCCCCACTACTCTTTTCACGTCCAAACCGTGGACGATCTCGGCCGAGGACATGGCATGCTCGTAATCCATCTTGTTGGCCAGGATGAGCAGGACGGTGTTCTTCAAAGTCTTGTAGCGAAGCATCCGTTTAAAGGCCGACCGGGCCTCCGCCAGGCGCGCTCGATCTTGCGCGTCCACCACGAAGATCAAGGCGTCCGCCGATTCCACGTAGTGCTTCCAGAGCTTTCGAATTTTAGCCTGGCCCCCTATGTCCCACATAATGAAATTGCAACGTTGGTAGCGCACCTCTTCGCTGTTGAAGCCAACCGTGGGTACCGTGTCCACTTTTTTCCCGAGCAGAAGCCGGTACACGCAGGTAGTTTTACCGGCATTGTCCAGTCCCAGGAGAACCACACGTTTTTCGGTCCGGCGGGAGACCAGCTCGGCCAGGCGGGTACATAATTGACCCATGCTCCAGCTGATGATGAGTCGTCAAACAAGCCGTCAAGCTGTGTTCCAGCGTTTTGAATTTTGACGCCCCTCCACCAACCCCCACCCGAAAGCCTGCCCCTTTTAAAGACGTCAGATGGCTATGAAGCAACCCTGAGCGGAAGGAGAGCGGGAATAAAGGCGGGGGCCTTCCTCGCTCAGGCGTGGCCCAACTGGCGTCCGGGCCTTGGCTGCTCCGGAATGTAATTTGTTTGAAGCCACTGCCGCACAATTAGACAAAATTTCCCCGAATTATTTTATAATTAACTCGCAAAATATCAAGAGACACAGTTGCACAGATCAGGAGGAACCAACAGCACGTCGCGTGGGCTCAGGAAGAGAAATCACTTCCAGGGCTGCTGCTGCTGTTCCTCCCCCCCTACTTGGTATGCCCGCCAATGTTCTAAAGCTCCTTTCCTCCACACCTCCTCTCCAAGCAAAGCATTTTCACCCGAATAAGGACTATGTGAGAGGTACCTGTGCAGGTGTGGGGAAGTTGGCGTCCGAGGCATGAGGTCAAGATCTCCTTTGTCAGATGCGGCATGGCCCAGGAGGAGAGTTGTCGCCCGCTCGCCGGATGCTTGAGGGCTCCCGCGCCCCATGGAAACAGGCAGAGAAATGCCACCCCACGAGGTCATGGCCATCATGCGGCAGCAGAGAGCAGACACTGTGCTAGGTTGTGGGCCATGTGTCCCGCCTGGATCATTTGTGTCCAACCTTCTGCTTCGGGGAAAAACAAGAAGGACTTGCTTGTCGTCCGAGGCAAGATATCTTCGTAGACAACGTATGCCCATCTTGAACCCGCCCTCCTCAACACACACATAGCCCGGCGCAGGTTCTTACCAGTCATGGTCACGACGCGGAGTAAGGCCTCGTCGCCAGGCGGTGTTCCCACGACCCCGGTGCGAAGCAGACGTCGAAGCAGCGCTAATGGAGATCTCAGCGGTCCGGCCTCTTCTCCCAGTCCAAGGGGGGCGGGCAAAGGAGGAAGGAAACCTAAAGCAGTGATGAACAAGAGTACCGCAGCACTTCCGAAGGCATGGAGATTTCTAAATTATATTTATTTGCTGATGGGGCTACTGGCATTGGCAGGAGGCATATGGGTGGCTTTTGAAGTCCAACTGAAGATGACGGGAGGGGAGGGCTCGAGCGAGAGGGAGGCAAGGGCACCTCTCGGATCAGGCCTCATGTTCGACGCTGTTGCCAAACACTACGATAGAATGAATAAATTAATGAGCTTAGGACTGGATCAAAGCTGGCGTTGGTTTTTGATCGAAGGGTTGGAGTTGCAGGAAGGAGACAAGGTGTTGGACCTGGCCACGGGCACCGCCGACGTGGCGGTCTTGGCCGCCGAAGCATTCCTCGCACGGAACTGGACGGGGGGACAGGTGTGGGGCATCGATCCATCAGCGGGGATGCTCCGCATTGGTGAGGAGAAAATTGCGGCGAAAGGGCTGGACTCGCTGGTGAGATTGACCTTGGGCGATGCCCAAGCCATGGGGGAGGTGGCCTCCGATTCCGTGGACAAAATCAGCATGTCCTTTGGGATCCGAAACGTGGAGGACCGCCTGTCTGCCTTGAAAGAGATGGCCCGAGTGCTGAAGAAGTCCCCCGCCTCCAGGGTTGGCATCTTGGAGTTCCAGTTGCCCCAGGCAGGGCCGTTGCGGTGGGTCGCGGAATTTATGGTCCGGTACGGTGCCCCTTTTCTCGGCGCTTTTTTCACGGGCCTCAAGGACGAATACGTGCACTTGCGACGGAGCATTTTGGAGTTCCCCAGCCCCGAGGAGTTCGTGGCGCTGATGGAGGAGGGGGGCTTGGTGGTGGAGGAAGTGCGGGAGACTGGCTTTGGCGCCGTCTCCCTCTTTTTGGCGCGGCCGGGAAAAGGCGAGGGGCGCGTGCTGACGCCGAAAAAGGTCGGCGAGGAGGTTGATGTGGGCATAACGGAGGGACTGCA